AACAACAACAACAACAGAAAAGTAGAGGGGCTTTAGACATGGCTCAATGGTTAAGAGCACTGGTTGCTCTTGCAAAGGACCAAGGTTTCATTGCCAGCACCCACGTGATGGCTAACAATCATCCTTAACTCCAGTTTCAGGGGATCTGACGCCATCTTCTGACCTCCACGGACATTGCACACACAGGTACACTTACATACATGCAGGCAAAAGACTCATATAAAGAATGAATGAATAAATAAATAAATAAATTTATTTTAAAAATGTACAGCATGGTGACTGTAATTAATAACATTATATTCTTAAAAATCACTGGGAGATTTCAAGTGTTCTTGCCACATAAAAAATAGAATAAAAACATAGGTTAACTTACTTTAGCTATTTTATAGTTCATTTGTATTTTGAGACATGTAAGATCTATCTATATATACACACATATGTATATATAATGTTTACTTGTTAATTAAAAAATTGTAAAAAAAAAGTTAAGTATATTGAATTAAAGTTTTGGAGATTTGGTTAGAAAACTGCATAAATAAGACTCAATTCAAGGTAGGTGTGGTGGTGTGTACTTGTCATCCCAGTGCTGGGGAGACTGAGGCAGGAGATCCTTAGTTCAAGGCCCACCTGGGATATATATAAGAATGCCTCAAAAACACAAAAAATTCAGAATCAGAACTTCAGTAGAGCTTATGTGTTGTTTAAAATTAAAAAAAAAAAAAAAAAGATTTCATACCGAAGAGGAAATTAAATTGTCAGTATGACAGAATGATCAACCTTACCTCTTAGGACGCATTATGGCAATAAGTTAGCCAGTTTTTTTACTCACTCAGATCAGCGGTCATTAAAAGTAAAAATACACACTAGTTACCAAGAGTAAGAGGTACTCCTGTCTTTTTAGAAAATAATTTGTAATATCTAAGTACATAAACCTTTTGAGTACAGTACTCTTGTTTGGACATCTGTCTGTCCTATAGAAATGATGACACATAGTTCTGCCTGTCCTATAGAAATGATGACACATAGTTGTGTGAGGATGCTATTTGAATCTTACATTAACAAATACTGGAAATAATTTGAATAGCCACTAATTAGGGGAATGATTGCATGGTATTAGAACATTTGTTCCCCATATAATCAGTTGTTAAAAAGAAGGCTAAACCCAGGCTTCACAGCACATGCCTGTAATATCAGCACTTGGGAGGCTGAGACAGGAGGATTACAGGTTTGAGGATAGCCTGGGCTACATAGCAAGATAGTATCACAAAGAGCTCTCCCCAACTTTTTTATATCTTAAAAAGTAGAATAGTAAGCAGTAATCAAAATTCATGTGTGTGCCTTTAAATTGGGTTTGGTGAAATTCATGTAGCAGAAACTTAAGCTATCTGTAAGTGAACAGTATAGTTGTATTTGCTACATTCAAAGTGCTATATAGGTGCTGCTTCTGTCTACTTCATAAGCTGTCAGCTCAGATGGAAATTTTATACCTACTAAGCAGTTTCTCCGCCTTTCCTATCTCTTCCACTGCCCACAGCTATCTGTATTTTATCTCTGTGAATTAACTTACTCTTACTAAATACTTCATATAAATGGAATATACAGTATATTACCTCTGGTTTATTAGCAAAATGTTTTCAGAGTTCTCCACATTATAGCGTTTATTCATACTTAATTCCTTTTTATGGCCAGAGTCCATTAAATGACTGTGCCATATTTTGTTCATCCATTGATAGACATTTACTTTCTACTTTTTTACTGCTGAGAATAGTACTAATGTAAACATTTATATCCAAGTATTTGTTTGAATACCTATTCTTAATTATTTTACTTACATACCTAGGAGTGGAATTGCTGGACTATGTGGTAATGTATGTTTGTGTTTTTGAGGAACTACTGAACTCTTTTCCAATGTGTACATTTTAGTATTTGTATAAGCATGGAAAAAGATGTGAAAACACAAGTGTGATCATCAGTAACAGTTACCTTAGAATGGTAGGAATGGGGGGGCGATTGTAGGAAACTAATAATGTGTTCTTTTGCTTTGCTAGTTACAGTAAGCATGAATTACTTAAAAAATACATAAGAGAAATATAAAACAAGACTTTAAAAGTGCATAGAAGACAGAGAAACAAAATTTAAGATTTATTTTGCAAAAATTCGCATTTTCTGTTATAATCAAATGCACTGCATTTCTTTCTAAACTATAGAATTTCTGTATGGGAGCACACCAAGAAGGAAGAAATTTAACATCCTTGTAATCTGTCTCAGCCTTTCAGTTTAAACCAGTGAAGGTGAAATGCTGCCATTTGTTGTAGTCATAAAATCATTTTTTTCCTGCAGATCGAGGAGACTGGCAGAGGGAAAGGAAGTTCAACTATGGCGGTGGCAACAATCCTCCATGGGGCAGTGACCGACACCATCAGTATGAACAACACTGGTACAAGGACCACCATTATGGTGACCGACGACATATGGATGCCCACCGTTCTGGAAGCTATCGACCCAATAACATGTCCAGAAAGAGACCTTATGATCAGTACAGCAGCGACCGAGATCATCGGGGACACAGAGATTATTATGACAGGTGTGTAGAAAGTTGTGAGAAAGTGGGCACTGACCTGCCTAGGACTATTTATGGGATCAAAGACCATGACATTCATAGCAGTGTGTTTGTCCAGTGCTTACTGAGTGTCTTTCATATGTCAGTCATAGTCCCCAGTCTGATTCTATGCCTTTGCCGTCAGGCATCCTCAGGATGCTGGAAGGGAGTTCTTTATTGTTATGTATTATTTATTATTTTGTTCTTTGACTAGTTTGTGTGTGTGTGTGTGTGTGTGTGTGTGTGTGTGTGTGTGTGTGATCAGTGTGCGAGGAGAGATCTCTATTTTGTTATGTGTTATATTATATTTTTTTTTGTGTCTATTGTGTGTGTGTGTGTGTGTGTGTGTGTGTGTGTGTGTGTGTGTGTGTGTATGTATGTATGTATGTATATATAAAATGCATTTTGGTCATTTTTATACTCACCCCTTCCCTCTCCTGCTGTAATTCTTCCCAACAAGCCCCCCTCTCTTACTAAAGTCTTTTGTTGTTGTGACCCACTGAGATTAATATGCTTGCTACATGAGCAGGGCCTGGGGTTGTTTACTGGAGCATGGGCAGCTTATCAGTGGCTGTACCACTGAAGAAAGTTACTCCCTCATTCCCAGAAACCTTCTAAAAACTTTTTTTTTTTTTGCTTGTTGCAACACCATTTTATTTTTTTGTGTGTGGAATCTATATGAGAGTTGTGACTAACAGGTCATGGTGGAGACCAGTCTTGACTATGAACCAGTGAGGGGAATTGTGTTTGTTTTTTTAAAAAAAGAGCAGAATAAAACATGGAACAAATCACTGGACATTGTCACCAGCATGGAAATTTCATGAAATTTTCCTTAAAAAAACAACAAAAAAAACCTTGTCTTCCTTACACTGAAAGTATGAAGACAGTCGTGTGACTTGATCTCTTTGACCCTGAACCACTACCTTCCTGCCTGGAAACTGAACCCAGTGTGTTTAAAGGCTAGGTGGCAGCAGGTGTCTGCATGGTGGCTGTGCAGGGGGTCCCCATAGCTGAGGGGTAAGGCAGTCCATGGGAGAGCTTTGCACACTCACATGTGCACACACAGACACGTGCAGGCCAGGATTGCTGAAAGAGACGTTGTGGCTCATTTTTCTTCAAGTTAGGTAGGTGTGGGCAGCATGGAATGAACTTTACAGGGGAAGCACAGAGGCTGGCCCTCTATAGTGGATAACACAGCGTGGATATGCTGATGCCAAACCACGGGGAGAGTGCTCAACTGGGAGTGGGTGGCTCCTCTCAGTTACTGCTGTGGAAGGATAAGTCCAGTGGGCTTTTTCCTAAGTGGCAGGTGAGGTCCCTGGGCCATGGTTAGTGACCTCCATGGAAACTTTTCATGAAAGTTCCGGCAGCAGCAGTCATTTAAGGGAACCTGACTGAGGACTTTGCTTTCCATGTTTTAAGTGTTTTTATTTTTTTTCCATTAGTATATAATGTAAAAAAAAAGAAAAAAATAGCTCATAAAGTTAGCAAATAAAAATACATATAGGGGCTGGAGAAATGGTTTAGTGGTTAAGAGTAGTGGTTGCTCTTGCAGAGGACCTGGGTTCAATTCCCAGCACCTACATGACGGCTACAACTATCTGTAACTCTGGTTCCAGGGGATCTGATGCCCGCTTCTGACTTCTGTGGTCATTATACGACATGGGTACATTAACATAAATGAAGGCAATATACTCATAAATGTAAAATTAAAAATAATAAAAATATTAAAAATTAAAATACTAAAAAATAGCATATAGTTAGATCCTATTATAGCATTTTTGAAGGAAGAGTGTTTTTTGAGGTTCTCCTCCCCGCATTGCCACCTCCCCTCCCCGGCTTCCCCTTAGTAGCTTCTTTCCCCCCATGTTTTTTTCCTCTTTCATGTCCCATTTGTCCCTCTGCCCAACTCCACATCCTTCCTCATCACATAATATTACATTCTCCTTTCTAGATTTCTAGACTGCACCCACCCAGTGTGTGTACATTGTAGGCTGGCATCCACATATGAGGAAGGAGCATAGGAAGCTTTTGCTTCTGAGTTTGAGTCACTTCACTAATATTATACTCCTCAGAACCATGCTTTTTTTCATGCAAATTTCATTTTTCTTTACAACTAAATAAAATTCCATTCTGTATATGTATCAGGTTTTCATTAGCCATTTCTCTGTTGATAGTTCCATTTCCTTGCTATCACAAATGTAGCAGCAATAAACATGGATGTGCAAGTGTTAGAGGGAAGTCTTGATGAGATGGGTGGCAGTCTTGAGGAGGGAATTTTGAGTTTTCCTGGGATCAGACTTTACTGAAGGGCAAAGAAAAAGACTGGTGATTCTTAATTCAGGCCTTGAAAAGTCAGCTTGGGAGAGCAGAGGGTCTAGGCTGCCTTGGCTCAGGCCCAGAATGGATGGGATGGATGTCCAGAAGATTAGCAGGATGAATAGAGGGATGTGATAGAGAAACCTGAGTGCTAGGTTACAGGCTTTATCCTTTGTTCTCCAGGTCATAGGCAGTTGTGTTTTGGTTTCATTATATCCCCTGTGCAAGAAAAGTTTCTACCTGCCTTTGCAGACATTTAGCAGAATGGTAGCCATAAAATAGAGTCAGGGGGTGGCAGATAGCTCAGTCTGTAAAGTTCTTGCCATGCAAGCATGATGAACCTGGATTCAATCCCAAATACCCATGTAAAGAAGCCAGGTATGGTGTTGCATGCCTGTAATCCAGTGCTGTAGAGGCAGAATCAAGAGGATCTCTGGAGCTCACTGACCGACTAGACTAACCTAATTAGTGAGCTTTAGGTCTCAGTAAGAGACCCTGTCTATAAACACAAGGCGGGAGCCAGTGAGATGGCTCAAGGGATAAAGGCACTTGCGGCCAAACCTAATGACTTGAGTTCAGTCTGTGTAACCCATGTGGTGAATGGAAAGAAGTTTTGAAATTCCTCTGATCATTCACATACACTGATACACAAATTAAATAGATAGATAAATAAATGTAATAAAATCTTTTATAAAATGTGAATGGAGAGTTTGCTCAGTGGTTAAGAGCTTTTGCTGGTCTTGCAAAGGACTCACTTGAGTTTGGTGGTAACTCTAGTTCCAGGGGGAATCCAGTGTGCTCTTCTGGGTCCCGTGGTTACTGCACACATGTGATGCACAGGCAAAAAAAACTTATACACATAAAATAAAAACAAATAATTTTTAAAAATTAACAAAAAAAGGTGAATGGTGTCTGAGGTGTAATAACTGAGGTTGGCTCACACATGTACCTGCACACGTGTCCACACTTGCCTTTATAGTAGTGAATACATAAAACAGAGTCAACAACAATTACTAATGTGGCTGTCATTCATAGCAGGTAGCAGGGATTCTGAGGTGGGTCTAGTCTGTGGTCCTTGACTATCTGGAAGAGTCAAAGCCTTTTGAAGTTGTACCTTCTCTGTAGTCATATCATGCCATCAGTGAGATAAGCTAAGCTAACATTTCACATTAGGAGTCAGCAAGTATGGAGTGTGTGTGTGTGTGTGTGTGTGTGTGTGTGTGTGTGTGTGTGTGTTTTAAGCCAGGCTGTTTACCTTCAGGATTTGGCTATATATTGAACTTTATAGCAACTGTAGTCTTCCCTAAGCTGATGATGGTATGCTTTGTTTAGACTGCACCTTGAATTTATAGTGGGGAAATTTTATGCATCATCTCCATGTCCTGCTTTTGTTTTGGAAGATGTGGAAATGGGCTGCGTTTTTGGTGAGCAACAGTAGTGTAGCAGCAGCACTCTCCTTTGAGAGATGCACGCTCAGTGCTGCAGTGTCTTATCTGGCTCCTCCGTGTAGTTCTGCATTTCTACAGGCCTGTCATCTTCCTTCTGCCCAAAGAACTTTCGTTTTACTATTGGTGTGCTGGTGGTGATTCTTGTCTTAAAAAAAGTTTATTTTGTTCTTGAAAGGTATTTTTAAAAAATATTTTATTTTTATTTTATGTGCTTCAGTGTATTGCTTGCATGTATGTGCAATGCCTATGGAGGTCAGAAGAGGGTGTCAGGTCCCCTGGAATTGGAGTTACAGATGGTTGTCAGCCACCATATAGGTGCTAGGAACCAAACCAAGGTCCTCTGCAAAGCAATCAGTACTCTTAACCACTGAGCCATTTCTCCAGCTTCTCGAAAGGTATTTTTGCTGAGTGTAAGTTTTTAGATTGCCAGTTTCTTTCAGCACTTTGAAGATATGCCTCTGCTCTCTGCTTGCAGGGTTTTATCTTCCTTTTTCCCTTTTATAAAATACTGTCTCACTCCCTGATTATGATATGCATTGGTATATTTAGTCTTCCTTCTGCTTTTTTTTTGTAGTACTGGGGATTAAACTTGAGTTTTCCCTTCTTTTCTCCCTCCTTTTCTTTTCCCTCTATTTTATGTGGTACTGGAAATTAAACCCAGGGCTTCGAATACGTTAGACAAGTGCTGTGCCACTGAGCTATATCCCTAGTCCTGGTACATTTTTGTTTCTTGTACTCAGGAATTGTTTAGCTTTGGGGCATATGAGCTTATTATGCCCATAAATTGGGAATTTTCCCCCAATATTCAAATATTCTTGCCATCTTTCATTTCTTTCCCTTGGCAATTTCAATTATATTTAATATTCTCCTGCTTGAAGTTGTGATATAGTAACTCAGTGATGCTTGCTTTTAAAAATTGTTTTCCCTGTTCATGTTAAATAATTTAAACTGCTTTGTCTTTCAAGTTCACTAATATTTTCTTTTTCTTCAGTGTTTAACCTGCCATGAGGCCCATTGAGTATATTTTTCATTTCACTCATTGTAGTTATGTCTCCAGAAGTTGTATTTAGATGTTTTTTTTTTTTTTTAAATGTCATAGTTAACCTTCCAAAATGGAGAGTATTACCTCGGAGAATGGTTTCGGTGTCCTTATCTGCTAATTATATCATTTGAGTCAGTTCAAGTTGATCAGCTCATTTCATTAAGCATCTTATTTTCTTGGTACTTTCCATGCCTAGTAATTCATTAGATGTAGGTAAAATTTACCTGGATTGAATGCTTTTTATATTCCAGTAAGTATTCTGGGGCTTTCTTAGGAAACAGGTTATTTCAATGCAGTTTGATTCTTTCACATCTCAGGTGGTGAGATTTGTTAGGCTGAACTGGAGTAGTGTTCAGTCAAGGCCTAATTATTGCCCATCCTTAAGGCAGGGACCCTCATTACATGCTACTCAGTGCCTCTTGAATAGTGAGGACAAGTACTGTTCTGACTCCATGCAGTACAGGACACTGTCTCCTCTAATCCTTTGGGTGGTTCTTTGCCTAGCTTTGGGTAGCTTGCTCACATGCATACCCTGAGCTGTGTTCAGCTGTGTATGTGAAGGGAAGCTCTATGCAGAGCTTCAGACCTCTCTGTGCAGAATTTTTTTCTACTGCAAAACCTCCAGTGAACTCTGCTTTTATGCCCTGGCAGTCTTCCTGGCCTTCTCCTGGGTTTTCTCTTCCAGTGTCATGACCTAAACAGTAGTCACCAGACATAAGTAGAAGGCTCACTTTTAGGTTCCAACCTTGAGGAAGCATTCATTGTTCTTCATCTGGCCTCTCAAAAACTATAGTTGCATATATTTTGCTTCTTTCTGATTCTAGGCATCTGTGCATCTGATTGCAGTTAGTCTGCCTGTCTGTCTCTCAGTAAAATTCACATTTCATAAATGGACCATATCATAGTGAACAGTCCGTTGTATTCTTTTCTTGTCTCATTGCTGCAACAAAATACCTGACAAAAAGCACTTAGAGGATGAAGGGTTTATTTTGGCTTAAGGATTTGGGGGCCACAGTCTTGGTAGGGAAGATATAACGGCAGGAGCAGGAGGCAGCTGCTCACACTGCATCCACAGTCAGGAAGCAGAGAGCAGGGAGTGCTAGTGCTCACCTCACTTTTTAAAAAAAATTTAGTCCAGGACCCTAGCCCATGGAAGGGTGCCACCCCCAGCTAGGTTTTCCCACCTCAGTTACCTTAATTAGAAAAATCCCTCATAGACATGTCCAGGAGCTTGTCTCCTTAGTGCGTCTAGATCCAGACAGGTTGACAATCAGTATAAACTATCACAAGTACTTTCACAGGGTTGTGCAGACTCCTTCATGTATCTGTTTCAGAACACTTTCAGTCACCCCAAAGCAAACTCTATAACCATGAAGCAGTCATTTCCCTCTCTTCCTCTTCCTTAGTTTCTGACAACCACTGATCTGCTTTCCAGTTGGATTTGCCTGTTTTGAACATGCCATCTAGAAGGAATCACCTTATGTGGCCTTTCACATGTGGCCTCTTTGACTTGTTCTTAACATTTATGCCCATTTTAGCATGTCCCATGACTTCATTCCGTTTTGTGACTAATACCCCTTGTTTAGATAAGGGTCTGTTTGTTCATCCACTCTTCTGTTGGTGGTCATTCCTCCTCTTATCCTGGCTGCTATGAATACTGCTGCAAAGGATGTTGATGGACATGAGGTTGTTAGTTATCTTTTATCAGTTCTTTTGGGTATATACTGTAGGGTGGAATTACTAAGCCATTTTGTAATTCTTTAACATTTTAGGATCAATAAACTGTTTTCCACAGTGGCTGAACTGTTTTACATTTCTGCCAGCCGATGTATAGAAGGTACAGTTTTTTCTCCATCTTAGCGCTTCTTTTCTTTTATTATTGTTGTTGTTGTTGTTTTGCTTTTTGAGACAGGGTCTTAACGTAGCCCAAACTGATCTTGAACTCACTTTGTAACCAAGGATAACCTTGAAATTCTGATCCTCCATCTCCCAGGTGCTAGAATTATAGGCACGTATCACTATACCTGGTATGTGTTGTGCTGGTGATCCAACCTAGGGCCTTCTGCATGCTAGGCAAGCAGTCTACTAATTGAGTCACATCCCATATTATTATTATTACTGTCATTTAATAAGCCATCCCACTGTATGTGAAATAATCTCTTGGTAGTTCTGATTTGCATTTTCTTGCTAATGACTGACGTTGAGCATCTTTTGGGGTACACATTAGCATTATCTTCTTTAGAGAAATTGCTATTCAAGGGGCTACATATGGTGGCATACACCTTTAATCCCAGCACTCAGGAGGCACGAGGCAGAGGCAGAGGCAGAGGCAGGTAGATCTCTGTGAGATTGAGTCAGCCAGCCTGGTCTCTGTACTGAGTTCCAGGCCAGCTGGGGCTACAGGGGGACCCTATCTAAAAGAAGATACCACCCCCCCCCCTCCAAAAAAGGGAGACATATCTATTTGAGTCTTTTGCCTATTTTTGAATTGAGTTGTCTTTTTGTGGGGTTGCATTGATTCTGTTTTGATAGTAAAACAGTTTCTCAGGGCCCATGATAAAAACTTCAGTACTCTCTTCATATTGGATCAGTATTAAAAATAATTTTATTAAATCTTACTGTTAAGTATTTAGGTTGATTCTGGGTTGTGCTGCTAATAATAACTTACAAATAATTTCTGTGTATCTTTTTCTCTTGAGCTTGGTGAAGAAATATTAAAGTATTTATAGTTGTGTTTTCCGGAAGGGAGAATGAGTTTATGAAGCCATCAATGATTGTTCAAGTATGTTCTTATGTCACTGAAGACTTGATAAGTCTTACACCATTTCATAGGATGCCTTTTACCAATAAGTATGAGATAATTTATTATTTCAGTCTCTGTGTCTGTGTGTTTTGGCTTCTTGGTGATGTAAACATTTGTCTCTGAGTCCATTGAATATACATCTGAGGAAATGCCAGGGGACGATGGAGAAGTGGTGGGACTCTGGTTCTGGTTTTTGAGCTAATCCTTGCATCTCTGTTTCAGGCACCATCATGACTCCAAGCGGAGGAGATCAGATGATTTTAGGCCTCAGAATTACCACCAGCAGGATTTCCGACGAATGTCTGATCACCGGCCCCCTATGGGTTACCATGGCCAGGGACCCTCAGACCATTACCGCTCTTTCCACACAGACAAATTGGGGGAATATAAGCAGCCCTTGCCCCCATTGCACCCTGCAGTTTCAGATCCTCGCTCACCCCCTTCTCAGAAATCTCCCCACGATTCCAAGTCACCCTTGGATCACAGGTCTCCTTTGGAGAGATCACTAGAACAGAAAAACAACCCAGATTATAACTGGAATGTTCGGAAAACATAAAGAACAGCTCTGAAAGGGGAGAGAGCGCAGGAGTCATCAAGCACTTGGACATTTTTGGTCTGGTCTAGCAGTGGCCAGTGATCTGGGCCGGTGAGTGGAATTTCTGAATTTGCTGCTGCCATCAACTCAGCAGCTGAAGGAGCACTTCACGGAGTGGGAGGCCTTCGTCAGCTGCTTTGGTTTGGTCTCCACTCCTGCACTTTGGCACCCCATCCTATCCCAGCCTGTTGTGGCCTCCTACCTCCATGGGTGCTAGGAGGAAGAGGTGACTTTGTGTACCAGCTTCGTTGGTCTTCTTCCCCTGTGAAGGAATCGGATCTTGAGAGTCATGAATGTTTCATTCAGCATGAGTGGTCAGGCCAAGGAACTGGTGCATGACGGCTGCCGGGACCTGCTGGACAGTGTGTGATTGGTTCGCTATGACATGATGGATGCTGCTGATGGGGAGTGGGGACAAGAGAGTAGGATCTCACATTGCAGGACTTGAAGGGGAGCAAGTGTATCCCTCAGATGTGTACTTGGGAGAAATGATACATTTGGTCTCATATGAGGCCTATAGGGTGGGAGTGGGTTGGGGATAAAGAGACCAGGAAACAACTTCCACCATGGCCTTCTCTGCCAACACTACTTTTTCCATACTATCTTTGTACATTTCAAAGATCTGGTCTTCTGAGTGGAGTCCCTTTTCCCTCTGTGTCAGGGAAAGTTGGGTCCCTCTGGCTGACTTTAGAATACTGTGACTTGGGCAACATTGGTGTCAGCGTGGGCCTTACTTGACTGGGGAGTGAACTGAGTGGGTCTAGGGGTGGGGTAGGGAGGTAATGTGACCAGGAGACAGGAATCCCTGGTGGCTTTCTGATTCCTGTGGTGAGAAGGAAAGCTGTAGATCCTAGAGAAGGAAGCAGAGGTGGCTTACTGGTGAGATGGCTGCCCAGTGGTGGGGTATTCATGCTGGTTGGGAGTAGGTTTCCTAATGTGGGCTTTGGTAGTGCCAGCAAGCAGGGGAGCTTTCAGTATTGGAGTAGGTCAGTGTCTGCAGCTGTATCTTGGTTCTTTTGCACAGCTTAGAATCATATACCTGACATTCATGATGCGGTCAGGTGATTACATTTCCTGAGGTGATTACATTTCCACCGCTGGTTGGAGATCATTAGAACTGAACCCCATTTGTTTCAGAGTATGATCTGTAAAGCATAAACCTAAGTTAATTTTTAACAGAAATCAGAAACATCCACAGCTGGGGTGGCTGAACTATAGATGGCAGGTGTCCTGCTAGAGTAGATGGAGTCAGGCTGGAGAGCTGATAGGTTCTGTCAGTAGCTGGGCTCCCATCAGTGTACTGATTCAGGGCCTTAGGTTTTACTCACTTTCATTACAGCTTGCCAGTATTGTTAGAGTACCCAAAACCTTTCTAGGCGACAAAAATTTGACTTGAACATACAGCATGGTGTGCCTCTAAGTGTCTAGGCTCATTCAGAGTTGATGAAAAGCCTTGTGATGGGCATATGCGGGTTCAGCTCCAAGAACTCACTTGTCTGGCCTCATCCTGGGCAGTACCGTTCATGACTTTCCTAAGACATGCTTGATTGTATCCCTGAGTGAAACAGATGTGTCCATGCATGGCTATGGTGGGCCATTGCTTCTGCTACCTGGAGCACCTCAGGCCTGTCTGGTGCTGAGTCAGTGCCAGCAGCTTGTGCTAGGAGCTCAGCAGACCATCGCCTTTGTAACTCCTCACAGCACCTGGGCTGCTCACCCTGGCTGTGTACATGCATGCCCTGCAGCAGAGCCCAGTGACTGCATGGAAGTCCCCTCTTCCCCTGTGGTGGCCTGCCGTGACTGCTGAAATGAATGCAGGAAGTCAGGTTCACTTTGGCCCGGTAGTGAAAAGTAAACCACAGGTGGAGCATCTTGCTCCATTACATTGACACTAATCTGACTGGTGTGCTAGGAATCGGGGCCAGGAAGGGGATGCACTCCTGTAGAAGGTGGAGGCCTTGCCTTTCTATACTCAACTAGGTTTTTCTCTTAACTTGTTGGTAGAAGTTGTAAGTTATTCCCAAGGATGTCTCATCATGAGGAAAAAGGACCTTCCTTTTGTTTACATTCAGGACTTTGGTGCCATAAGATGTAGCAAAAGGCAATATTGGCCAGATCAGTGTTACATTGATTCTAAGATTACAGTATCCCCCATCAAGCATCTGTTTTAGGTGTTAAAGGATATTTGAAGAGTAGGTTGGGAGAAAGGCATTTCCTCGTTGACTTAAATCAGTATAAGTATCATATACTTAAAACAGAAGTTTGCACAGGTAGAAATCTCTCATTTGTGACTGAGAGAAGCTGCCCAAGAGTCTCCAGATGTTACTCCATGGAGCCTGGCTTTGGATGGTTGAGGAAGGAGGGACAGTTAGCATTGGCAAGCCCCAAATTAAACAAGGATGGCAGTGATGCACCATGACCCTAGGGAAGGAAGGTGAAGCCCCTGCTGATTACTGTGTCCTCAGAGTTGGCCAGGCCCTCTGGAGCCCGATCTGATGGCCCTTGCTTGCCCCTCTGTGTAGTCATTCCTTAAACCCCACAAAGGGAAGCTGAATATTTCTCACTGAGCTGCTGACATTCTGACCCGGTGTGTCTGGAAGTTGTATCAGGCCCGCTGGTACAAAGGTGATTCACTTAGGAGTTCACACACAGCGACGCTGAAATCCTACAGACCAAAACCCACTTGTCAGCAGGAGCAGTGGTCCAGGCCCAGCACTTCTGGTCTTATGGCTTGTCTGAGGCCAGCTGTGTTGGGTGAGGGAGCCATGCCAAGGGTCCAGGCTGCTTTAGTCCATCTGTGCCCTACCCATTTGGGGACAGGTGGTTTTTCTTGTAAAATTGTGGACTTTTAAAACCTATTGACTAAACAGTAATTAATTTATATTTGTGAAAAATGCCACTGTCCTAGTAATTTCTGATGTAAATAATGTTGTTTATATAGTATGTATTAAATTTTCCTACATTGTAAAACTGTTGTACTTTTGATTCTTGTATATTAAAAAGTGTTACTAAGGATTTTTAGAATTGGGCTGACCTGTCACATTACATTCTGGTGTGAACCATATGCTTGGAGATAGCTCCTGTCTCCCTTCTTTTGCTGGGTGCTGGGTCACACCCAGGCTTTTCCACAGCGTGGTCACTGGCACTTTATAAAGTTGAGTTTTTGTTTTGGTTCCAGATAGTTTTCTATTTTCTATTCTTTAGCAGCTCTAAGCCACATCCTATAACCCTACACTTCATGAGGCAGTCTGGGCCTTTAAAGCCTGGTAGTCAGGTGGCACTGCCTGAACTCTAGCGGTCCTGTGGAGGCCAGCCTCACATGCCCAGTGCCATCTAGAAGGAAATAAAAACATGAGGCCTCCCTCCCAGCTTTGAGTATAGTTTAGCAGTTGGGTTATATATTCTTAAAGGGGAAAAAACAACTTTTCTAATGGAAACAATGACACAAATGTTAACTAGCAGTTTGGCACAGGGAAGGAGGCCCAGGTGGCATGGTCCAGATAGAGGAAGGGGTGGTCTGTGGCTGGAGACCCTTGGAAGAAGAGTTGCAGAATTTTGCCCAGGCCCAGGGGGTTTTATTGCTAGTTAAAGTAACTGAAGCCAAAGTTGAATCTTTGTGATTCTCTTAATTCTTGATAACAAATAATCCATGTGTCCACTCAGAGCTTAGTACTCAGCTGCCAGCACTTCACCTGCCCGGGACTCTTGGGCACAGGAGGGCAGTGTTCAGCCTGGCCTGGCAGAGGGCAGCTGGATTTGTAATTCCTGAGTGGAAGAAGAGTGGAGGGCCGTTCCTGTCAGAAATGACGACCCAGATGGATCGATTGGGGAAGACTTTTAAGAACAAGTACTCCGATCCCCTTATGATTTACAATAGCAACAAGGCTTCGAAACCCACTGCTGCCAAGAACGCCTGCCTTTTCCTGGAAGCGGCGGGCCTGGAGCCCCCGCCTCCCTGCTCCTCTCTGATGGGGACTTGCATGCTTGGCAGCACCACAAACCCTCCTCAGCGCCAACAGAAAGGTCACTTACTGAATGAAACCCAAGGCCTAGCAGTTTGCCAGACCAGAGTCTGGACTCCAGTTTCCAACCTGTGGCTCTTAAAGGAGCCAGACAAGCTTTGCCCCTGTGTCAGCCCTTCATCATACCTTCAGGTTGAAACCTCTCTTGGAGTCCATACTGCCTTCCTGCTTGCTTGGTTTTATCTTTATAGAGTTGGGTATGGATACATGCAGCTAGACCAGAAAAATCCTCTCCCTTAGCATGGTGGAGCCCTACCCAGCCCCTGATGGTGTGACAGGTGTTCGAGATTTCCTGGTCAATGGTTTGTTCGTGGCCATACTGCTCTCTGGCTTTGGATGGGAACATGGAGAATTCAGGCCTGTGGTCCTCACCTGAAAGGTATCAGGAATAACACCCTCTTCTCAAGGCTCACTGGCACAAAGGGTTCTCATAGGCTCTCTGCCTTTCCTGTAGTCCTTGCTAACTAGGGATACCATCAGGGACTTTGGGTGGCATAAAGGGGCCTGTCGGAGTCACAGCCTTACTCCCATTTCATCACTGGAAACCTCTTCAGTTGCAAATGAAGGAGGCAGCTTTTTGAGTTGCCATGTACGCCCCGGTTAAAGAATAAGGTCTGAAGGCCACTAGGAAGGAGGCAGTGTTCAGTCCTTTGTTGGGGATAGAGCCAGAAGGCAGCTGGAGAGGTTGAGGGTGATCTAGCACAAGGCTTGCTCAGCCTGGAGGACAGGCCTAACTTGGCATTGGGCCCCAGTGGCCTGAGGAAGAGGGCTTCTGCAAAGCCACATCTTGATCTTGGGGAGAGGGAACCCCAGCAGAGCCTGCAGCCATCCAAACAGCTCCAGTTTAGGCAGAGAGACACTACTAGTTACTGGAGACGTAGTGGTCCTTGATCCAAGTTCAGAACCAGAGTAGGTCCTTCCTTCCTGGAGTTGATAGCTTAAGTAGGGTTGGGGTAGGTACCTTGGACAAGCAAATAGTAAGAGGTAAAATGTTGCCTAAGTGCCAGGGAGAAATGGCCAAGGTGCTGGTAAGTCAAGTTCTGACAGTCAGAGAAAGTGCGTGTCAGAATGGGCTTGAACCCTGGCGTTTTTTTATTTTCTTACTTTTAAGCCTTAGCTACAAAATATGGGTTCTGTTAGCCTCTCACAGGAGGCCCTGTCGGGGCGCTGGAGATGGGCTCAGCACCTGCATTGTCAGAGGACCCCTCTGACAGTGTTGGGGCATCCTGAGGCACATCAGGTCAGACTTCCCTTGCCACCCAAGGATGTTTTAGAATCAGCTCCCAAGTCGGAGGCCCCTGGCATGTGATTCTATAACTGTCCTGTAGAGGGCAGCAGGAGTCCGCCGACTCCAGCCTGACTGCCAATTACCCCTCAATCCTGCCCTCTCAAGCCTGGGGAAGGCTCTAGGATCCTTCTTCCACCCTTTAAGACCCTGTTACCCTGTTGTTAGCTCACAGGTCCTGGAGACAAGTCACCTTGTTCCTGAAGGAGGTGTGAGAGGGAACAGCTGTGCTCCAAGCTGTGTTCCGTGTCTACTCCAGCCACTACTCACAGATGCACAGGTTCAGCCTGTGGCATTTGGAGAGACTGTTGAACCACAACAGCGTTGGTACCACTCTGTTGCTCCTGGTGACACACATTCTGAGCTTTGTTCTCTGGTCCTCTTGTTCTGTTCCTGACCTGATCAGAAACAGGAAACTGCTTGAGAGGACCAGCATGTACCTCTGCCCCTTTCCAGCTGGTGGGTGCCACCACTAGAGCTCACCCTGCTGGTGGGTACTACCACTAGAAGTCACCCATGAAGACAGGCACGTCCATCCACCCCGACTCCACTGTGTGTATCACCGACATGAAGCCAGGTGCCTAGTAACATCACAGTCTCACCAAATATTCGTCCCCCAAATCTAGATCATGACCAGCTGCATGAGGTGGCCTCTACCTCTAAATATTTGTACAAAGAAGATACAGGGCTGGGCGTGGTGGCGCACGCCTTTAATCCCAGCACTTGGGAGGCAGAGGCAGGCGGATCTTTGTGAGTTCGAGGCCAGCCTGGTCTACATAGTGAGTTCCAGGACAGCTGGGGTTACAAGGAGACCCTTTCTCAAAAAAAAAAAAAAAAAAAGAAGATATTGGAGAAGGATTCTTGTTATTGTGTTAGGTCAACACGGTTAACAAACATCTCTCTATACTTCCCTTAGGGGGTCAGTCAATCCTGATTATTAGCAAAGGGCAGGATAAGTCCTCTCAAAAAGGTGGTTGTTGGAAAACCCTGTCCTGCAGACCTAGTTCCTGGTGGCTCAGGCCCCAGTCTTGAGGGCCACCCACGGACTCTGCCCATTAAGTCCCTCTGGTGGAGTCTGCCTGTGCTTTGAGCCACCTGAAGCCCAGAAAGGGGCTGGCTGCCTGGGACTCTGATGTGACAAATAAGTACCTGCACTCTCTGCCAAGTGGCTCCAAAATGTAACTGTTGTGACACCATCTGGGTGTTTCCAAGTGTCTATGTCCATGGGAATTAGGGCACACCAGCGGCCAGATCATGTCATGCTTGTTAAGAAGACTTACCCCTGACCTGGAAACCTGACTGACTGCCCTTGGGTCACAATGATCCAGCTGGTAACCCACTGGCACCCTGGGCCACTCCCCCTTGGACCCCAAGCCTCTCAGACTTCAAATCTGAGGGCTGTTATCTCAACCCAACTTCCCCTCCCATCTTGTGCCTCTTCTAGGTCCAGGTTTGGAGTCTCCTGTCTGACCAGCCTATAGGTATGAGGCTGGCCCCTCTCCTTAGTCACCCCAAAACTAGAACCCTGGGTGGACTCCTGTTTTGGGGGCTCCTGAAACTCTGTCTCTCCCCTCAAGAGAGGAGGAGGAGGCTGGGGTTGGTGCAGGTGGAATGATGGGGTAAGCTTGCTCTTCTTCCAGACTCTTTATAACCTTCAGTAGGTGAGCTGATTTCTCTTGACCCTGGTCTGCCCATCAGGGAAGCAGGACAGACAGCATCAATTACCTTCTAGGATGGTTGTCAAATTTGTCAAGACTCAAGGGTTGTTCTAATGTAGGGCTTCATTTCCATTTTTCAAGAAGCTGTGGCTGAGGATGATATATGTACCACTGGAATTTGCTGTGGGGCACGTGGAAGTGGGTTGTCGCTGCTTGGCAAGAAATGGCCATCTCTGAGGGACAGCTCAAGGTTCAGGGAAGGGAGTGTCCTGTGGGAGTATGGTAACACTGACAGTTCCTAATAGGGTGCATACACCCCATACACCCTAATTAGTTTATAGGACAACCTGGAGATGTTCCCTCATGACTGAAACAGCTGAGGTGGGAGCAATTGTAACTCACTCCTATTTTGCAGCAGGGATTCCCCTGCATAAAGAAGGCTCTGATAGGTCATTGTATGAAGCTGTGAAGGTGAAGCCTGGTTGGCAGTGGAGATCCCAAGAAAATGTTCATGATGCCAGAGCTGTGAGACATCTGCCAAGAAGACCTGCATACAGGGAGTGGTACCAGCACAAGAGAGAGATGTGTGTTGCACGCAGCAAAGCTGGAGAGGCTGAGCCATCTAAGCCCTTTGGAGGTAAAGTCCCAGAAGCTGGACATGGAGCTACTGGATTTGGTGTTTGCCCTGCTGGTTTTTGG